AATTGGTGCTATTTTTGCACATCTGGAAAGAGAAAAGTAGCAGGGGAACAGAGGAAATGGGGTTACGTAAACTGGGATCCATTGGGACATGGTGACTCAGTGGCTAAGGCGCTGAGCTTGTCGATCAGAATGGTTGGCAGTTTGGTGATTCAAATCCCTAGTACTGCATAACAGAGTGATCTCCCGTTACTTGTCCCAGCTTCTGGCAACCTAGCAGTTCGAAAGCACATAAAAAAACGCAAATAGAAAAATAGAAACCACCTTTGGTGGGAAGGTAATATCATTCTGACTGCCTTTGGTGTTTAGTCATGCCAGCCACATGACCACGGAGACATCTTTGGATATGATCAACATCACCGTAGTCCAGTGAACACCTGCCATCACTGTGGCCAGAGTTGATAAAGACGTTGAAATCTGGAACACAAAAAGATTTCCTAAGCCACTTTCCTTTTCCACTGATTTATATATGGAAAGCACGCCGCCAAACGTTATACCCGCTAGCTTTGTCTATGTACCTACATCTTCTTTATAGAAACTAAGCCAAAGCCTGGATGGAACAAAACCATTATGGACAAAAGAGGTCAATATCTATACAGCCATCTGGTGAACTATATAAGATATGGACTGCCCATTTCAATAAAGTATACGACTGCTGCATGTATTCATTCTCTTTTCATTTTCCCATTGTTATTGGGGACACTAGATAGGCAGATAAACTCATTCCCAAAGAAAGGAAGAAGGGACAGTGACAAACCATATGATGAGATGTGGTCATAGAAGTCCCACTTCTTACATACATGTGGATTCCTTGATGCTTTCTAAGCTCAGGGGTTTCCTTGCACATGTTTTCTTGCTACATTAGGTGGGTAATGAACAGTGGTGGGTTCCCGATCCCAGTGCAACCAGTATGATGCAATGGGGTGGGCATGCACCATATGCACATGCGCAGCATGTACTTACCACCTGTGACGCTTTCCAATGCTCCAGCTGCTCGGCAGAGCATCGCACAGGCGCCATACGCTCCGTGCACATGCACATAATCTCTGATCAGCTCATATACATGTAAGGAGGATGGGTGAGTGGGTGGGTGGGCCTTCTGGAGCACCATACCAGAGTGGAACCTGGTGCTCCCAGCAGGCACCAGTACACTTGTACCGGGACGTACCGGTTGTATCCCACCACTGGTAATGAAATATCTTCAAGAAACCCCACCAGTCTCAGAAAGCATGAAGGACCCACATTTCAACCTGAGCTACGAATACTCTCTTCTATCGGTACCCTACATATATACGGCTGACCTTGTGATCTACTGTGAAATGGACAAGCTTCTGTTGGAATGTTACACAAATGAAGTTATTTTTCCTCACCTAGCTAGAGGGTGTTTTGAGTTTATTTCCCCTCATTTTGCAGTTTTCTCAGTTGGGGAAAACCACAGGTTTTATTCTTTTTTAAACTTTGCTTTTAGCACAAAAGTTTCAAGAAATGATAGCCTGTCAGTCTTTTTTTTTTGTAACAGCTGAGGCTATAAAATAAGTTCACTGACAGGGGATTTCTGTTAGTACACAAAGTTAAGTATTTTTCTAGAATAACTACTGCCTTCAGCAGAATGCAACCAAAGAAGTTCCATCCCAATTAAAATGCTCCAAATCTGGCATTAATCAATTGTCTTTACTTCACCAGAACTTTAAAGTGAAATCATCTCATGAACTTAGTGGCAAAACATTTTCTTCATACCAGAGACTAAATTGCATCGGAGAGGAAAGCAAATACATTCTTCTTTGAAACACATTGTTTGGCTGGAATGAAGCCACATTTCTTGTAATCTCAAAAAAGAAACTTTGTACTTGAACCTCCAAGAAGTTCTTCTTGGAGTGCATTTGAAATTTAATTGGGCATAATGTAGCAGACCTGGACATAAGCACTTTAAAATGTTTCTGTATGTTTAATATCTGTATCTATGTGTATGTATGTATGTATGTATGTATGTATGTATGTATGT